AGTGTAAATTACACTGTACTACTGCCTCATATCCATTCATTGCTACTGCCTGTGGTGGATGGCTTCTGTTGTCTCACATTTCAATATTCTCGTTTTTTTAGGGGTCTTCACTGTAGCTCCGATATCCTCCAACGGGATTGACAATGGACGAGACATCCGAATTAGTAAGCTGAAAATTATTAGGCAGTAACGTACTTCGAGGCGGGGTGGGTATGGTGAACATTCGGCCTGACCTCAGTACCCTAAACAATTTAGACTGTGAGTGATAAGGGCCAGAGTAGCTGAGCGATAGTACCACAGAAAATCCATAGTCTTCACTTACAATCAGCCTAGATCCCGAGAAAAGGAAAACGGAGACGCTGGCAACTGGTCCCCCCCCGCTCTCAACTACGTTTGCACCGATTGTTGTAATTTTTACTTGGCTGTTGGAACGTTGTAACTGTATAATTGTTTCAGTCTCCCATTAATCGATCTATTTCGGTGGCGGAATTGGTACGTCCTGTGAAGGAAGAGGTCAGTACATCTTGATGAGCTGCTAAAGTTGTAGAGGTATACGGTCCAGTTACACTCCAAATCCCTGAGATGAGGTAGGCGTGGCTGCGTACTTCAACTAACGTCGTGGTGGCTATGCTTTTGGAGAGATATTTTCATTTTGACCCAAATGTGGTCACGTCTCTGTCCAACAAAGAACAAGATGGCGGTTGTCTCAAATTGAAATATCCCACGAGTAACCAGTTCTATGACATGTTCAATGCCACGCCTACTTCGTCTCAGGGATAAGGAGTATAGCTGTCAAGAGATAGAGGGCGTGTCCATGCCCGCGAGACGCCAGTGAAATCATTGACTGTCTAAGGCATTAGGGCACATCCCGCCCCTGGAGAGAACTTTTGGAAAATACGACCCTTGCTTCCCTACCCATTGCCTTGTCTCTCCTGCCGACGCCAACTTTTCCAAGCTTCCTACCGCTTCTTTCGGAACTTCCTAGAATTTTATAGCACCACAGAAACGGGAATAACCGCGAAAAGTCAACAACCGGGGAACGCGGCAGTCTTCTCGGGGGCAGTACGACCCCCCCCCCCGGCTAGGAGCACATATGACCCTTTCCCTCCAGCGGCCAAATACGACCCCGTCAGCTGGGAATTCGCCAAGGTGCAACGACATGACTTATGTTCCCTTGTCAATAATGTGCTGTAGCACGCTACTCATTTAACTTGTCAAATGGCACAACATTTACCAACTCTCAACAGCTAACGGACCCGTGCTACATCTGCGTCCTAATTCGTTATTGTTGCGAAGCTAGCCTCTTTCGAATGCCATGAATGCTTTCAGGAGTCTGATATCACGCCATCGGCAGCTGACGAATGTTCTCACCGTAAAAACTGTCTCTACGCAGCATTGAGAGCTATCTCGCTCAATATGCTAGTGAATCCTGAAGCAGGTAACTTCGGAAAACGGTATGTACTCACTCCGGAAACGAAGACCATTATCTCCAACGTGAAGCAGTTCTTCGTAACGCTCAAGGAACATCTCGGACCCGACGTGCGCGGAACCATTTTCAGTTCAGTTACAGCCATAACTGCTACGGCTTGTGCTGTAAGCGACACCACTGTTGCAAGGGCTAGCAGTTCGCGGCCTCGCCAAACGAAAACTCAGCGGTCTTCAGAAGAGCATTTTGGTTCGTTTCTGGTTCTTTGTCTTTTTAGCTAGTTATTTCCCCTCGTATTTTCAATTACTCTGTATATAACAAATTGTGCAGTTGTGGGGTTATGATCGCCCCCGGATTGATAGTGCAAGGTGTGAGCTTGAGGTTAACGGTGGAAACAATCACAATAAATAATTTATTAGCAACTCATAAAGCAACATGAACGAGAAACGGAGATAAGAATTGAATTAGACGAGGTATGGTGGAGGAGGGCGCAGCGGGGTCAAGGAGAGGACCGCCGCCGACGATTACTGGAG